ATGAGGCGACCGCTGACCAGTCCGAGAAACTCCAAGAAGAGGTGGGCTGTCATCGGTGCAAATTTGGGTGACAACGACAAGTCTGTGAATCTACGCGCCTAAATGAGCTGAAGTTGGGAGATTTGTTCGCCTTTGTTTCCTATTTTCTTGACAGGTCCACTCCCTGCGTACAGCAGAAGCCGCTGTGGCCCAGAAAGTTCAAGACCTACAACAGCTCTTGGCAGAGGCCAGCTCAGACAATCCAGGTTCCACTAGAAGAGACTATGAGATGTGCATGAGAGTTGTGTTTCACGATGTCTAGGAAGAATTTTGGAGTGAAATGCAATCCAGCCAAGCATGGGAATTGGAGGCTGAGTGTCCTGCTTCCACAGACGAAGGGACACTGGAAAAGTCACAGCAGCTGGAGTGTCTCGAGAAAGAGGTGGGAGTGATGATGAGTGATGCCTTGCCTGCGTGAGTATAGCCAGTACAACCCCCAATTTTGCTGAATACTTTTAGCCTCTTTTAGCTGTGTTTTTACCATTGTTCTCAATGGCTTTTTGACTGATTGTTCCCCACATCTTTGTGTGAGGGTCTTGTTTTTGGTTGTGCACTTCCGCCTCCCGCTTCCCGTCCGCCCGCCCGCCGCCCGCCCAACACACAACTTGTCACCACACAACTTCCTCACACACAACTTGTCCACACACAACTTACTCACACCCAACTTGTCACCACACAACTTCCTCACACACAACTTGCTCACACACAACTTCCTCACACACAACTTGTTCACACAAACTTGCTCACACAAACTTCCTCACACACAACTTGATCACACACAACTTACTCACACACAGCTTGCTCACACACAACGTCGTACTTGCTCGCCCAACACACAACTTGTCACCACACAGCTTCCTCACACACAACTTGTCCACATACAACTTACTCACACCAACTTCCTCACACACAACTTGACCACACACAACTTACTCACACACAGCTTGCCCACACACAACTTACTCACCACACAACTTCGCACTTGCTCGCCCAACACACAACTTGTCACCACACAACTTCCTCACACACAACTTGCCCACACACAACTTACTCACACCCAACTTGTCACCACACAACTTCCTCACACACAACTACTCACCACCTCACACACAACTTGACCACACACAACTTACTCACACACAGCTGGCTCACACACAACTTGTCACCACACAACTTCGTACTTGCTCACGTACACAACTTGTCCACTTGGTGACATCCACCTTCGTTTTGCGTGGCAGCCTGACACACAACTTGTTCACACACAACTTGACCACACACAACTTACTCACACACAGCTTGCTCACACACAACTTCTCACCACACAACTTCGTACTTGCTCACTTACACAACTTGTCCACTTGGTGACATCCACCTTCGTTTTGCGTGGCAGCCGTGGCACTTATAGCACTGGGCTGGCCCTGGTGGCGCGCTTGGTTCCCAGTTGACGCAGTGATGTTGCCGTAGCAACATGTGTGCCGGAGCGACCATAGCCATAGCCAGTGTTGCCATAGCCAAACGTGGTGTCGGAGCTGCCATTGCCATGGCCAGTGTTGCTGTTATGTTGCCAACGCCCAACCTCTGAATGAATGCCGAGGAGTGGTTCAGGTGACGAAGAAAAGTGAGGCCATGGAGCTTCGGATTGTGGTAGAGATTTTATGACTCTGCCAGTGACATGAAAGTTGCAGACCTGGGCTTGATCAAGACAAATACCTGTTGGACTCCCTATGCTGGAGGGGGAGGAGAGGGGATTGCAAGGAGTGGACAGAGGCTGTGTTGCTGGAATTGAGGAGGTGGCAGGTGATTGCAAAATGAATGGATTTGGTGGAAAGTATGGTGTGGGACAGACCCCGCTGGAAGGCGGTGTTGGTGGTGATGGTGAGATTATCGACTGACTGCAAGGAGCAAAACCAAGTCCCGACATCTTATGGTTTCATCCCAAAGTGAACTGAGGTCTGGACTGGGGTCCCGACATTGGCATTAACTAAGGTTCCGACTGCTGATCCTATAGGTCCCAACTTGACAAGTGTTCTAGCCAGTGGTGTTGCGGCCGCCAAACGTGTTGCCGGCCATAGGCAGTGCTGCTGCCATAGCCAGAAGTGTTGTTGGAGCTGCCATTGAACCAGTGATGTTGCCGTAGCCACGTATGTGCCGGAGCGGCTATCGTCATAGCCAGTGCTGTTGCCACAGCCAGACACATTGTCGGGGCTGCCATTTTCACAGCTAGTCAGCTAGTCAAAAGTGCTGCAGGAGCAACCATGGCCATAGCAAATGCTGCAATTGCCGAAGCCAGCTGTTATAACCAAACGTGTTGCCGGAGCTACCATTGGAATAGTCAGTGCTGTTACCATAGCCTGACGTGTTGCCGGGGTTTCCATCCCCACAAATAATCATGCTACCCTAGCCAAACGTTTTCCGGAGCTGCCATCGCCATAGCCAGGGCTGTTGTCATAGCCAAAAGCGTCTACCACAAGGCGAGTGTTGTGGCCATATCCAAACGCCCTGCTGGAGCGTCTATCGCCATAACCAGTGCTGACTCAGTGTCACTAAAGCAGCTGCCATTGCCAAAACCAGGAGTGCAGTTGCCAAAAAAAATATATACGATCAACCAGAAACTCATATCTTTACATGGAGTTCAAGATCGAAAACGAAGGATCCAAATTCACCAGAGGTTCACCTCACGAAGGCATACAAATTTTACATCTGTTGGGATGGTTCACACACGCCCCGTAGCAGTGGATCTTTTTTGGAAAAATGCACCGAAGTCTCCCGAAATCGTTTTTCATCTTGGCTGGATGAAAAGAACATGCCGAGGACCTAGTCATGGAAGGAGTATCCCCATGTGATGCCAAGGGCCTAGTCGATGATGTAGTTCCCCCAAGTTGTGGAATGGGATGTGGATGCGAAGGTGGGAAAGATGATTGGACAGCTGATTGGCCAGTTGTCTTTGACGTGCACTAATCAGAAGAACCTTGCGAAGGTGAAAGAATTAGCAAATCCTCAGGCAGTGACTGCATAGTAGGAGGATATACAACATACGATTGAAAGGATTGCGAAGTTACAAGATGCTGAGCAAGCATGGAAGACTGATATTGAAGGGACTGAACCAGCGACGTGCCAAAGTGCAGGAAGACCATTTGAAGCCCCCGACCGAAATTCACAGTCACCCAAAGGTGCCGTGCAGAGAACGAGCAGCGGGGCGGCAAGGGGCAATCATGTGGCGCGGCTGTGGGGAGGAGGAGAGTGGCGGCCAAGAACATGATGGGCGGCAAATGCCCTTTGTGGGTGGCGAAGCTGGGTCCGAGGCAGTGGCTAGAAAGTTGGACGAAAAGGATGAAAAGAATGAGGTGACTGCCAAGTGGAAAGAAGTTAAGCAAATAAGGAAGACTGATGCTGAAGAAAGTGAAGCGACAACGCGGCGAAGTGTACTTAGATGAGCTGGCTGGTTGCTAAGTACTTAAGACCTTTAGCATGTTTAGCTACATGCCTGGTAACCCCTTATAGAGGCTTAGCTAATTATTAGCTAACTTTGCTAAACCTGCTAAGCTCCTTTTTTTGAAGGCATCCAATAGAGAAAAAAAATAAACTGAAAGGAAAAAATGGAAAAAAACAATTCAGCATTTGGACCCAATGCTGATGTTTTTATTTTTTATTTTCTGTCGTCTGTCCAATGCAAATGTGATCAGTGTGTTTTTCAATTTTCTTTTAAGGTGGTGTGGTGAAAACTGTCAATGACAAAGAACAAAAAGTTAAACCACTGGCTTGGCCAACTATGAACACATGTGTTCATTATTTTGTGGAAAAAACATCAAGGGCACACTCATTTTGTGGTATAGGATCATGAAATTGTGCAAGTCCCTGAATCACAGGAATTATGCAGGTATAGCACTGGGTGCTTTACAATGGCATGTAGCACTGGGTGCTTTGCAATGGCATGTAGCACTGGGTGCTCTGTGCTGATGAAATCCATGTGTGAAAACAGCTGGGTGCATCTGTTGGATTCTGCAGGCTGCCTTTTTTCCATTGGGCATGGTGCTGGAAATCTGCATATGTGTCATCTGGCCGAGAAGGGGGTCAAAGTTGTGATGCCTTTAGTGCTTTGGGTCCAATACACTGGTGCCAGAACTTGGTTCAAAGGGTATGCCATCTGCTGTTCAGTGTCATGCCACACACAGTGCTTGGGGCCAGTGGAGAGTAAAGAAAACATGTGGATGATGCATACATCTTCTCCTTGGAAAGACAAGAAGCAAACAACAATGCCAGCTTCAAATGGTGGCCTGGCTGTGCATTGCAGCAAGACTGCATCACCACGACTGCAAGTGGCATTGTGCTGGATTCTGGCAGAAAAAGATGTCCACATGTCTTGGGCATGTGAGGCTGCATGGGGCCAAATTGCCAGGCCATATGGCCAAAGCTTCTTGGGAGCCCTGGTGGGTTCAAGCAGGCCAATGGACATGTCAAACGGCTTGGAGATGGACAGCTCTTTGGCTAGCAACTCCTCCATGATGGACCTTTCCATGGCTGTGGTGTTCTGGATGGCAGCAGCTAGCTGCCCCACCACTTTGTTCTTCCTTTCCATGGAAAAACAATTTGGCAAAATGCCATGGTTTGCAAAGTTGGAAGCCACATGCAACAGCCAATGGTGCTTCCTGATCATTGGCCAGCCAAGATCTTTCCAAGTGGCCAGGCATTTTTCCACCTGCTTGGCCAAAGCATCTGGTGTGGCTAAGTGGTGCCAAGTGGCTTGGAACAATTCAACCAAATGTACCAAGTCTTGGAAGCAATGGGCTGCAGCTTTGTGGGCTGTGTCTTCAGCTTTAATGGCATCCAAAAAATGGTCCAGCAGTGGCAGCAAAGTCAACAATTCTGAAGCTGTGCAAGAGAACTTGGAGGACTTCTTGTGTTTGTCAACTCTTTTTTGTTGAAAGAGTGCTGCAGGCTTGAAATTGTGGAAGGCATGTGGCACATGCCAGCAAGAAAGCCAACCCTCTAATGTGGCCCAGCAATCCAAGGCTTCAAGCAAATTGTAAATGCAAAGGGACATGACCCCTTGGCACAACAAAGCATGCATCCAGTCATGGAAAATGATTTTGGTTGGGCGCACAACTTCCTGCAAGGATCTGTCTGCCAGGATTGCATGTGGTGAAAAAGTGATCCCACAAGCTTGCTCCCATTTCTTGAATTGGGCAGCTGACACAGTGGTGGACCTGGTGGCCATTCTGGCCCAGCTGCCCCAAATTTCAACATCTTGGTTGATTTGTAAACCTGTATGCTTTGTGTATGAAGATATGGTTGCCACTTGGCCATCCTCATCTTGGCTTCCTTTGGCTAAAAAGACATTCTTACACAAAGAGCAGAACCTGGAACCACTGTCTCCTTTCATGGACAATGCAAA